GGAGGGAGAAAGCTATTTAAGTAAAGAATAATGTTGGCACAAAAACAAATGGGAATTAATTGGCCATGAATGGAGGCTGGAAATTAGAAGCGGTTTCTGTGCCACCAGAGCAGGGAGATCCTGAAACAGGGTAACAGTGGGGACAAAAAGATTAACTGGTTTTAAGATGAGGCTCAGTAAACTTGTGAATGGGATTAGGTGACACACTGCCTTTGAAATTGCTAGATTCATTTGTCCAGGAAGGGGTGTTTGCAGGGTTTTGCCATAGCGTTGAAATGAAGAATGAACTGTTGAGCTCCACGGGCACCATCAAAGCTCTGTACATTGCACAGACCCTCTGCCACCTACATTAGGCCAGACGACGTCCACAAAAATGGATGGTGTTTTGAAATACGTGTTCTCTTTGATAGAGAATGTAACATTGCAAGCAATTAATCACATGAAAATACGTTTTTATTAGTATTTCGACTTACATATTGAAGTCTTTTCACTTGCAAAATTGCTTGAGGCTTGGCTGGAGGTTTGGTGCATTTTGGCACTCTGCAAGCACGCGAGCTGGTCATAGCACATATTTGTGGAGCTTCTGTTTGCCAATACGACTTGTTTGCACAGAATAAAATATTCAGCAGGGCATAAGAGAGATAAAAACTAAATTTCCCTTTCTAAAATAATATGGGAATTAGCTTACATTACAGAGCTTAAATTACACCAATTCTCCTCCAGGGTTGGAATAAAATTTTCAAAATCACCTCTAATCTGTGAGGAATCTAAACCATATGGAAATGTTCCTAATTCCCCTAGGTGTTTTTGACACTTTTACCCATAGGTCTTAGAGTATTTCATTTTTTTTTTCTAGTGGAGCTATCTCAGTTACAAGTGTGAGATTTCTCAGTAATCAAAGTAGTTACATCACCTCACTTTCTAGCATTGAAGAACTCGTATCAATAAGGGAACATCAACACTAACAGATGAAAATATCACCCGTAATAATGTGAGTAGCAGGTGTGCTAGTTATAATTACACTGGTATAGTTGTTGGTGATGTTTTCCTGCATACAAATGACCTTGAGCTCCTGCTCCTTGCTTTAAAATGGGTCCTGGTTTTAGAAGGCAATTAGAGCTTTAGAAATGTCGTTCCTCTTCTAGGCAGAGCCTGTGCGATTCTGGACCATACCTTTCTCAGTACTGATAGAGCATATTTTTTGGAGCCTATCACCCATAGCAATCATTCAGCTCTGTGGCTCATATCCTATTTTTGAAAAGCCATTTCCTTTCGATGCACATGTCTTTTCCCTCTGTTTATGTGAAGGAGTCAATGGGGCTTTCAGCCGTAAGGGTCAAAATGAAATCAAATAAATTACTTCCAAAGATAGGAAACTATTTCACACCTTGGAGCCTCATTTTGCTCCAGATGCAGCATGTTACAGCTCATGCCAGTTAGAAGCGATTATAAGCTGACTGACCTGTCATGACACTAAAGATCTCAGTAGAGATCTTGTGAGCCAACACAGTTTTCTTACCATTTGGGTTTGGATCTGTCTTACGTGAACAGGGTGATTGCCCTGGAGTAATGACAAAAATGGGATTTCATTAACTCTGCCATTGTTAGGAGGTTTACTTTAAACTTGTTATCAACACATGTGTTCAATTATAAATACACTCAGGTTCTGTAAGAAATACAGTCCTGTTAGCATTTAAGGAGAAATCCAGTGAGAATTTAGGTTGGACACAACCAGATACACAGTATTTACATTAATTCTTCTTTTTCCTTTTTTTTAAGGGAGTGGTAGCCTTTAGTTATGATTTATGAAGGCTCTTGTTACCACATCTATTCCAAGGGTTTTCTCACACCTCTTCATTCTAAGGGAACTATTTTGATTCAAAAACAGCTTTGATTTTTATCTTTCAGTGCAGAATATGCATGTGTGATACATTGCCAGGCAAGCAGCATGCAGAGAAGTGTAATTCTGATCTTGGGACTTGGTGTTCATTTGTGTTTGATTACCACGAAAAATTATGAATCCAGCCTTGATTTTAGAGTTTTTGGACCTTGAACGATGAGGAGGGATATTTTCATCTTACTTTAATATTGTACTTACAGACTTGCAACACAAAAGCTTTGATTTTGGAAGCACATTTGGAAGGAATGTAACAATTTGGAAAAGCACATTTGGGAAGGAATGTAACAATATAGGTATGGTAATGTCCAGATGTGCAGTTTAAATCCTAGCATGGAGCTCAGTAGCAGTAGCACTGAAGCTTTTCTGTAGTGAGTGCCGCCTACCTGCAGCGTGCTCTGTGCCTCACTGTTCTTGTCTGTAAAATAGATCTCATAAATCTTGCCATCATTTACATACTGTTTTGATATCAGGTTTCTCTCCGAGTCTGAAGTAACATTAATTATTAGTCGTGGGACTGCTATTTCCCTTTGATTTCTTCCCACCTCTCTGTTGCTGTGTGTGCAAGCCCCTTTTTCAGGAAGGAGGACAGGCCCAACCACCCTCCCTGAGATTACCCCATCACCCCTAATGGTGTAGCACAAAGCCATTCATTTCTCCACTCTGGAGTCTTAAGTCTCAGAACTTTATTAGCCCAAGGGAGTGGTAGGGCCAAGCGTGCTCTAAAATGCCGATCTCCCGTTTTGATAACTGAGTTCTAAAAATCAAGATAAACAAGCTGCCCTATATACTGAACACGTCTTAATTGCACGCTTCAAGCAAGCCAGCCAATCAATGAGTATGTGTCACCCTCTAATGAATATTTTTAGTTTTTAAAGATTTCATTTGTGATGTTCCCTACAGTTTCTGCAGTCATTATCACAGTGGCTTTCGAAGACCCTGTTCAGGAGGAGAACCTGGCTTTATCTGACTGGGAAACTCTATAATTTAATTTAATATTTAAGTTGGGCATGGTCACTCTTATTCAAATTGTATTAGCTAATTCTTCTCTTAAACTGTTTACACTGTCTGTAAAGTTGTGTTTAAAATTCTTTTAGCTAATATATTTCCTAGTGCAGACTAGAGAAGGGTTGACTCCCCAAAGAACTCATAGCAGGACTTTGTTTACTTGGAGCAGGGTAGAAATGGGGGTGGAAGAAGGAATAATAATGTTTGAATCTATACAGATGGCTTCGACTAGGCCAAATATTTTGCTCTTCATCTCTCCCCTCTCTTATTAGTGCCAAGATTTTTTTTTTTAAGACGTGGTTCGTAGGTCACAAATGGACTTTGCAAGCCATGGGAGCATTGCCCACCCTCAAGGTCTCAGATGCTCAGCACTGGGAGCAGTGAACGACAGAAGGCACCAAAGAACTGAAGTATGAGTCAGCAGTGTGCTCTGGCAGCTCAGAGGGCTGTTAGGGAAAGGTTCTGCACCAGGAGGTGGTGGGGATGGAACAGGTTGCCCTGGGCAGTGGTCACAGCACCAATCTGCCAGAGTTCAAGGAGCATTTGAACAGTGCTCTCAGACACGGGGTTTGAGTTTTGGATGGTCCTGTGTGGAGTCAGAAGTTGTACTCAGTGATATGTGTGGATGCCTTCCAACTTTGATTATTCAGTGATTTTATGCATCAGATCCAAAGTGCCCAGTCTATAAGGAGCCCCAGTGAGCCAAAGTTTCTAAGCTTGCTTAACTTTGTTTTTCTTCTGATAGTCACTTACATGAGGTCTCAGAATGTCGGTGTGTTGACGGAGTTGTCAGACTAATCAAGAATCCCAAACCCATTGCTCTGTTCTCTCTTTCCTAAAACCTTCCCTTGTTCTGATTTAGTACTGCAAGTAGCATATCTGGGGAGAGAACACTATTATCTTAGCCAAGCTTTAAATATTGAGTAGTTCCAATTTTTTTTCTCAGTTGATGACTTGGATTATTGACTAGAATGTCTCTGATCCTATTTATACTGTCTTTTGAATATCCTACGAGAGAGGCAATAAATTCTGAAGTTGTCTGTAGAATTCCCTCTGATGGTGGAGGTTGGTTTTTCTCCCCTGGTTTTCAGGAGTGGTTCCAACTTGATTTTCATCATGGTTTTCCTATTCCTTTTTTTTGCTTTTCTTTCTTAGATGTCCTCTTCTCTGGAATGTGTAACCTTTCTTTAATTTTCCTTCTTCCTCTAGTCCCTACACAAATTAATTGTACTCCCACAGTTACCATTCAAATGTAAATAAGTTAAATGATTTACCAAAATGTGGTAAAAACAAATAGTCCTATCCAGTGTTTTGTTTGGGGTTTTTCTGTTTTGTTTTCTAAAATGTCCTTTTGCTTCCCGCTGCATTTCTAGTCAGGAGTCTTATAGTAAGGGCTTTGTCTGTTAAAATGTATGCACATCAATAACACTATATACTATCATTCATTAATAAATATTGGGTCCTCCATGTATCCCCCTTCCTGAGCAAGATTATTCTATACTTTGTATTTACTAGAGCTACATCCTGTCTACTTCAGCTACTCGAGTAAGTAGCAATATTTTAACTGCAGAGTGTATAGTGTGCGTCATTTATTTGTCCTGACTAGATCTACTGCTGATTACGTAAACATTTGAGGAAAGAAATACCAAACTAGCAAATATTTGCAGAACCCCCTAATGTAGAATCTTAAGAGGATGATATCGTCTCGCAGTTTGAAGATTAAAATCAGTGCTGTTCACAGCTGATTAACTTTCCTTTCTAATATTTCCCACAAATTGAGCTAATGTAATAAAACTTAACGAAACAAGGTTTAGTAAAGCCACAGAGAATATTTATATGACAGCAGGCTATAGAGTGGTTCAGGCTGTCCTGGCATTCACTTTGTAATAGCTCTGTACTTCATCCTGTCCTGTAGTCAGGATCTGTGGATGGATGTGGCAATAAGAGCGATCCTTGTGTTTGGTTGAAACAGCCTCTTTGCTGACTTAAAGGTGATGTGAATTAGCTGTACTATATTTTCTTTATATCTACCCAGTGATCGACCATTGCCTTCTTCCACATCAACCCTTAACGATCCCCATTTTTGGTCCTACAGAGTCATCAGCAAAGTGGTGCCAGCCCCAGAGGCCAAACCTGCTACTCCTGTGAGCCGGCCCAAGACACCTCCACCTGTGCCATCACCAGTACCAGCTCCTGTGCACGTCACCCCTCCTCCAGCTCCAGCTCCTCCTCCTCCACAGCCTACAGTCTCACCTGCCCTACTTCCACCAGCATCCCCAGCCGTCTCTGCAGCTGGAGGCTCCAAAGCACCTGTTAGGAGCGTGGTGACTGAGACCGTCAGTACTTACGTGGTAGGTGGCACGTGCTGTGATGTGCTGTCCCAGTGACATTCATCTCCTGAACTGTTGAGCTTCATGGTGACTCATCACTTCAAACTGATGGCATTAGACTTGTGATGTTACTCTCTACTCTGGCCCTTGCTTCCGCACACTTGCTTGGAAGAGTTAATAGTTAAAACACCACTGGGCTAATTTTTTTCTGTCTTCCCAGCTCAACATTTAAATTAATTCCAACAAGCCCAGTTGTATCTCACTTGGAATTTTTACCTGGAGCATATATTTTTGGACATGACTTTTTTCTTATAGATACTTTCATAGCCCTAAATTGAAACCTCAAATGTCAAACTCGCCATAGATTTTGCTGTCAGGCAGAAGAATCTGACTTAGCCCTCATTTGAAGTGTGCAGAGTGCACTGTTCTCTATCCTGAACATACAGAAACTGCTTGTTTGTGCATGTGAGTTTGTAGACATTTGCTCTGAACTCGACCTCTCTTTGACGCCATTAAAACTTCTTAATTACTCCACATAGAACGGCTTAGCTTGGAAGGGGCCTTAAAGCCCATTCAGTTCCAACCCCTCGACCATGGATGGAGTTACCACCCACTAGTTCAAACTGCCTAGGTCTCCCATCCAACACAATGAAGGGGCTACATTCTCTAATGAGCATGGACACACCTCTGGATAGGGGTAGGACTGTTCTGCTATGGAAAATTTTTACTGTAGATACAGTGTAAGGTGGTAGTCCTACCATTTCTAATCACCGAAGAGCAGCAGATACCACCAACAATAGCAGCAGTGTTGTAATTCTCCCTGCCCTGGCTAAGTTCCAGCTTGGTTGGTGACACCTTGCTTATCTATAGCAGGTACCAATTTAAAACTCTCACCATTTAAAACACCTGAAACTTGCTTTTATTACAGAGCTTTCTGTATTTCAATTGCAGTGTGTGCATGATTTTTTCTGTTTTTTTTTTTTTTTTTTTTTTTTCTCTTTCCTGTTTTTATAATGATTCCTAGTGTAAATCTACCCTGCTGTTTCTAATGGAGAAGGTGCTCTTCCCTGCTTGACTTAAACTGCTGTATCATGTTACTGGTCTCTATTTAAACAGCTGCTACATTTCACTCCAGAGTTGGTTACAGTATTCGGCTACCTCACATAGGCTGTGCATATCTTTGGGATGAAGATATGCATCCTCACCTCCTTTATCACAGCATAAATGCGATGCCACCCTTACTTATTAAAGTAGTGTCCAGAAGCCTTGCAATTCTTTCTAGGAGAGAAACATTTTCAAAATATTGTACTACATCCAATTTTCCCCAGTAAGCATTGGAGGCAAATAATTTAGAGGTGATGGGTGTTTAAGGAAGGAAAACCTGTAACTTTTCCTAAGGCCAATGTTTCAGTGGTAACAGTCTTAGTGCCTTGGGGAGAAATTGGAGAATTCTATTCAGTAGGCTCTGGGTTATTTGTTTTTTCTTTTACAGTTGAAACCAGGGCTTTACTGTGTTAGAATCCAAGTACCTTTGCAGGCAGAGAGGCTCCTGATGTGAGAAGTTTCTAAGTTAAAAAGCTGAAAGAGAGGTTGGGGAAAAAAAGGAATAATTAATAATTTTAATAGCTTCTTCTATGGAGGGAAATCAGGACACAGAAAGATGAAACAGCTTTCCCAAGGTCGCATGGGAAAGCTCTTCTAGAGATAGGATTGGAGCCAGGGTGATGGAGGTACACAACTCCCTTCCACAGGGAAGGACAGAAGGACGATGTTACAGTTAAAATATATGATGTGGGATTTCCCTACAGGATACTATCTCAGTAAATGCGTTCTGATCATTAACTCTAAATGGTTTGTACTAAAATAGCTTTCAGCAGTCACATACTGTCTCTTCTCCACGACCCATTAAGGAAAAAAGAAGTTAGGCAATATTTTGACATCTTCATTCAGCAGCCCAAGTTCTTGTCTAACAAATCCAGATAGGTTGCAGTGGATGTAGACCACCCTGTCCCTCTCCAACCCGTGATCTTCTGAAAGCTTGAGATGTCATTCTGCAGAAAAGCATTCCCCTGGAAAATTAAGTTTGGAAAAGTTAAAAAGTCCATATTCTGGTGGAGCAACATCAGGCAGCATTGTCTAACACTGGCAGCACCAAGGTGGGACACCTGCCAAGCATCAGCATCCACAAGTGGAGATCAGATGTGTAGATAGGAATGATCAATGCAGTGAGCTTTAAAATTCAGTTTGTCATATGGCATTGCCTGCTGCACATTGGTTTAGAAAGGGATTGTTCCTTGCTTAATATTCCTGGGCTTTGTATTTTCTAGTTTTAGATCACAAAAAAAATCAGGGCTTTAAGAGGAGTCAGTCAAGAGTGATGTGTTGGTTGCAGCTTTGGTATATTCCTATTGATTTTTCTGGCAGTGGTGTAAGATGTACAGACCACCATGTATTGGCTTTTTTTTTTTTTTTCCTAAGAGCATTTGGGGATTTTTATCTACTGCTTTCTAATACCACGTTTGTAAGCTCTGCAGATAGCAAAAAGTTATTGTCTTAGATATGTGTAACTGCACTAATGCACAAAAGCTGAGAACAAAATGGATCATATTTTTGAGATTCGGCTATAATGTGCAAATCTCCATAAAGAAATGATGAAATCAGGGTAATACCATACACATTTTGTACTTCATATTGTTATTTTACACTCCTTTGAATGAACTTTATGACGTTTTTCATGTATGCAAAACAAAACAGAACAAAAAACTGCTATTAAAGCATTCGAAATTTAAAAATACAAATACAGCTTTAGCAGGATATAAATGTAAACATTTTTTTAATAAAATTCTGAGTATGATAAATCCAGTGTGCAGCCATCTAATGCTGTAAATGATCTGCCTCTCTTGTTTCATTTACCCTTTAGTAAATGGTACCACGGCATAAATGTCATAAGGGGAATGGAAAGTTACTCAGTAACAACTTTTTTTTATATCCTGATCTTATCAGCTAGTTGAGTTGAAGACTTTGGCTAATAAGTAATAAAGCAATATATACACATGGCACTGTATATGTTACATGCATATAAGACTGTTATCTCACACAAGAGCCTGCTGTAGCCCGTTCTTGCCATTAACAGAGCAGAATTTTAAAAGTCTTCTGGTCGTGGTAGTATAGACAGGGAAGGAATTGTGTCACTAAGCCCCGTCTGCTATATGTGAATGACTGTGCATAGGTTGGGTGGTATAACTGGCTTTGCTGGTTTACAGGACAATGCAGAAAAATGCATGCTTTTGCTGTCCAGTGCAGGATAGGAAAAAACAATTAAAACATAATTCTGAACACATACAAGAACAAGAGAATTCATAAGTAAGGGTAGTGAGCATTGAAAAGCTTTCTTGGATAAACAACGAACTGCCTTTTTTCTTTTTTTAATTTTTCTTTGAAGATTGATTTTGCTGCCTGCTTAGCCCTTAAAACCAGCTAACTTTCCTTTTCTTTGCATCAGATCCGAGATGAATGGGGTAACCAGATCTGGTTCTGTCCTGGCTGTAACAAGCCAGATGATGGCAGTCCAATGATAGGTTGTGATGACTGCGATGATTGGTATCACTGGTAAGTTGTTCTCATCCATCCTGTTCTGCCGTTCTCTTGCAGATTGTGGCTATATTATTAAAACCTTTTTTGTTGTTGTTGTTGTTCGTGAGGCTGGACGTATTTGAATGGCTTTGCTGTGTCCAATTTAATCATCTGGATGATACTTTTATCTCTGTTTCTCTGGAATCTGAAAAAGCAGATTTTAAACTGTGAAGGAGCGTTACTTTAATTAATGGGAATTGGTGATAACGGTTGTTTTTGAAACGACCAGGAAATATTGCTGATTCTGGTAATTTTGTGAGAAGTGCAGGATTGTGAGCACGGTGTATACAGACAGACATTTCAAGTTATGGAGCATTGTATGAACAGTAATATAAATGTCAGCTCTTATAAGTGGTTTGAGGGAATTAATCATTTTTAGGCATTTTTTTAACAGCTACGTAAAATCATAAGGTTTTTTTCTTTTTTTTTTTTTCTGCAGACGTATTAAATAAGCATTTGAAATTATTTTAAATCTAGCATATTATGTCATGTTTTCTGTTAAAGTGATTTCTTACTGGAGATGTAATGGATGAAACATTTTTTTTGTTTCAAAGCAAGCTTTTTTTGCATTTTTTCTAGATCATAATATTCGTCAGTATAATGATAATTGCTAGAGTAATTGGGGGGACGTTTGGAAGGCCAGATCCCATCTCTCACTGAAAAGTTGAATTTATTTGGGTAAGAAATAGCAGCAACGTTAAGACAGCACGCTGTTTTCCTGTCCTCCACAGGCCTTGCGTCGGAATTACGGCTGCACCCCCAGAAGAGATGCAATGGTTCTGCTCCAAGTGTGCCAACAAGAAGAAGGATAAAAAACACAAGAAAAGGAAGCACAGAGCACACTGAAGACTTGGCTGTGGATTGAAGTCGTGCGGTCGCTTCAGCGCTTCTGCCCTGACTCCGTCACAGAGGGATGCGGTGTGCTCGCGTCTCACCCTCCGCCATCGGGTGTTATGGGTTTGACTCTGGAGTGAATTGGGGGCAAGGATCTGTTGTCCGTTTGGGGGCTGTTGCGTTTCTCAGGCTGTGCGAGCCCAGGGGGGTGGATTTGGGTACGTTCTGATGCTGTCTTTCACCTACGGAGGGCCGTCTTTTGCACAGAGCGGTGTGAGGACTTCAGTAGTTAATGGCACCGCTCCTGTGGCTCGGCAGCAACAAAGACGAATGTTGTAAATACAGATAGCTGTCCTATTCTTTCTTGATTTGTTTTTTATTCCTCTGAAACCTTTGCGGTAAGGTGCTGAGAGGAGACGAAAATGTAAATTGCAGTAATTGTAAACCTAGAAGACCTTCTGGAATGATTTCTTTAGTCTGGGTGCAGTTCAGCCTCTACTCCTGCTGAACCAGATAATCATAACGTGGAAATAAAAAGTGGCTGGTAAATATTTTTGTGACAAGAATATAAGAAGCTTTTTCCCTTGATTTTTAGTACTAACATAAAATAAACATGTTCAAGCTTTTGTGATATATCTTCTATTTTTTAAAAAGGAAAGTTTCTATTGTGTCGATTTTTTTCTTCCGTGTGAATTTATTTCAGTGGACCTGTAATATATTTTATACTTTGGTTTTGTTCTTTAGTCTTCGTCAGTGTTCCATTTCATTGCTTGTACATTTCACAGGTGCGTAAAACCACCTCCCATTAAAAGAGTTTCACACATGTAAATACCTGATATTTATAAAGTACCTTTTTATTTTTTAGGGCATGAGGATTTTTATTTTTGTTTGCCTCAGAAGACAAACCTAGCAGCTATTAAAAGCCTGTGTGACACACGCTTGTCCTTGTGGCTTTAAGGGATTGGCGAGATCTGCCCCAGTGGTGCGCGCACGAGAAGTCAACCAGCACCATAATTAGGCCTTGATTCAGATACTTAAACATGTGGTAACTTCTTAAGAAGTGAGTAATCCTATTGCCTTCAAGGAGACTGTTCCCACACTTAGTTATACATGTGCTTAAATGCCTTCTGAATTGAGGGCTTAGGCCAGGGGCTCTGCACTTTTAATGGTAGCTCCAGTGTGTTAATCTGTAGCTGGAGCTCAGTTTTTTGGTTTTTTTTTTTTCCTTTTTTTTAACAAGTGGTATTGAGTTTGCCAAAATGGCCAGGCTTGCGTTGGGGTGAAGGACGTGCCAGCTGCCATTAAGACCAAGAGACACATTGCTCTGCTTTGTGTGTCCCCTTGGAAAGACCAGCAGAATGAATATGAGCTGTATTTTAAATGAGGGCAAAAATAGAGAGAAAAAAAAAACAAAAGAAAAAAACAGTATTAGATATTGTAGAACAGTGGGTCTCAGAGCTAAACAAAATATATAAGAATAAATTCCATTGTTTCTGATGCCATGGGGAGCATTTAGACTTCATTGCTTCATTTGGGGATATTTCTACTTCAGACTGTACAGTGAGAAACGTCTGAGGTTTGAGCATACGGCCCTTTAACCTGTTGCACAGATATTAAGGGTTATTTTTTAAATGCATCCAAATTGATATTAATGAGAATGAATTAGTCATGTTTTTAAACATACCGGTCTAGTTAGGGAAATGAGGCTTTGCTGATAGAACTGTTAAATTGCAAATCGGTGGAGATATGGATGAAATTGGTTTATTAAAAGTGCACTGTTACCTTCTTTGTTCAATGCCACTTCATTTATATACTGTCCCTGGTAATTACCAGTCCGTGTGTTTAGTCAAGAAAGTTCTTGGGTTTGCTATTTTTTATTTTGAATTGTTGAATGTTTCAAACCTGATTCTTGTTTTACTCCACATGTAATACGCAGACATACAAAATATGCAGTCTTTGGTCATTTCTGGTTGCAATAATAAAGAACTAGCTTTTGGTAAGTTGTTTATCTATTTCCTCCTCCGCTCAGTTAATCACAACTTCTCACATTTAACCAACTGAATTATTCAGGGTGCGTGGAAGAAGGGCAGAACTTTTACCATTTCTACCGTGGGACAGAGATCTCTGTGACCGTGCATTGCTGCTGCCTGCCAGCTTGGTTTCCTACCCAGGGTTTTATGATTTCATAAATGACCTCGGTGGTAATAAAACCGAAGAATCATTTTCAGGAGGCTTGTGTGGCTCACGGGATTAGTAACAGGAGAAGGGGCCTTTCACCTCCGGGTCATTGCTTCGGAGCAACCTCGGTCAGCAGCCGTGAAGAGCCTGACTCCCCTTTCACTTACGCTGGTGTAGACCAGGAATTGGCTGCATAAAAGAGCTATTGGCTTCCAAAAATGGTTGTCCTCTGAGCACGGGGTGGGTATGGATCTTCTTTCCTCAGAAAAAAAAAATTAGGACCAAAATCTATGCATTTGCTTCCATAATCTTATGGCTAATATTTCCTTTGCTTTTAATAAGTTCTGAAAGAATTAGGGCTGTTTCGGTTGTTTGTTCATTTTACATTCAAGCATTTTTGTTCCTCTGAGTCCAGTTGTGATTTAGATTTTGGCCTACAGCATCCTCCTCCAGTGAGGGGACGGCACTTAGGGTGGCTAGGGGTTGCTTTGCTTGTTGGTCTGCATGGAAGAGCATCAGGGCTCTGCGTGCTTTACCTGTCTGGGAGAGTGGCTCTGTGGAAGAGGATGTGAACACTGCTGGAAAGCATCTCTTTTCACAGCCAGTTGGAAGTTTATGAACAAAGCTGCTTGAAAAGGTTTAGGAAGTGGAGAATTAGGGATTTCAATGAGAAGACAACTCATTGTCATGGTGTTCATATAAAGAGAAGGCAGATGCAACAATCCCCTTTACTGGTGTGTGGAATGGACTGGTTGTAAGCAACACGATGTGTATTGGTAGGATATACTCCAGAAAACAGTGCAAAAGCCATTCCGTGAGAAAAGCTTGTTGAATCCTGCCTTTACTCTAGGGCCAGATTTCTATCTGGAGTCAGTTGGGAGTCAGTTGGAGCTGTGTCAGCTTACAGCAGCTGAGCAGCTCCCCGCTCACGCTCCACCAGCTTCAGGGATAGGGAGCAGCTACATCTATCAGGAAACAGCTCTTTTTTTATTATCCTGACTAGTTTTTAAGTCTTCCTTAAGGCAGCCTATACCTGCAGATTGCTGGAGAAAACAGCAATGTGATGTCCTCACTGCAAAATGCAACATTCCTTGAGCAAATTGCTAATGAGTTTTTTTCCCCCAGAAATAAAAAAAAAATAAAAAAATAAAAAAATAATTAAAAAAAAAATCTATGATGTTAATATGGAGACAGGAAGCAAAAAGCCCAGAAATGGAAAAAAATATATATCTTGACTACAGATTTTATTGGAGGGCAGAGATATAAATGCAGAACATCCATCCCCGGAGTAATGGAGATGCACTTTTCTGGAGATAATCTTCCTTCAGGGCTGTATGTCGTGCTCAAAGCATAATTTCTCTGCTTGACAAGTTGTTTCTCTTCTGAAGGTGTCCGCAGCTCAGTACAGTGAGGATCTTTATGCTCCGAAACTGATTTGTGATTTCGAATGTCCTGGAAGAGGAAAAAAAAATAAAACAACGAATCAGAGGGTATCAGAGCCTGCTGACTTTGTCTGGGCTTTCCAGAGATAAAATATAGTGTATTACTTCACTGTATCACCTAAACCTTCTTTGTTCTCCCCTCAATAGGACGATTAAACAAAGACCTACTAACCAAATTAAAGTATAAAATGAACGCTGAGATATGGAAACCTTGCCAGGAAGAATGTTAATGAATGAAGTTCACTAAAGGCGTGCTGGCTAAGTTTTCAATACAAATAGTTTTATGGCCAATCTCTTTAGATCATAGCAGTTTTCTTTAGAAGTTTAAGTCTCAAAAGTAGATGAGTTTCCTTCGCCAAAGAGAGTTAGATAATGCTCTGAATAAACTCCCTCTTCACAGTCTTGTCAGTCACGCTATTTAGGAATCTCTCCCTTTCTCTTGGGCCCTCTTGGATCAGCTCTAACCTAAAAAGCAGAAAGCTGCTATTAATCCCTGCGTGCAGGATGGCAGAGGACACTGTAATGGGAGATTTGTGGCCAGCAAGCGACTCCTACCTGGCCGAAGTGTTTAAATGCCAGCTATTGCAGCCATCCACTGAGATGTGTGGCCAATTCGCACCATTTAAACCAATAAAATGTCAACTGAACCCATGATAGGTGGAAGATCTTCCACATATATTTTTTTAAACAGAGAGAGATTTTTCTAGTGAATAAACAGCTCCTTGTTTTGGGAAGGGAAGGGAAGGGAAGGGAAGGGAAGGGAAGGGAAGGGAAGGGAAGGGAAGGGAAGGGAAG